CAAAGTACTGCTGAAACAAGCAGGTTTTAAAGGGGGGTGTGTGGGGTTTTTTCTTTTCTTCCCCTTGTCAGGTCGATTTGCTGTAAGGGACTTAAAACAGACAGTTGCTGTTGGAGTCATCAAGTCTGTGGAGAAGGTGGACCAAGCGAAAAAGATTTCACAAAAACCTGCTGTATCAAAATGAGTTGCTCATTTGTCCCTTTTTATAATACTTTTTCTACCAGCAGTCTGGTATGTGAACCAAAAGGTTCTCTTTAAGTTAAACATTTTTGTATAGTTTTATGGAACCACACTTTATTTTGCCTTAAAGTGAAGCCGCTTTTAAATGCGTTGCTAGTGTATTGGGTTGTTTGAACTGACTGTGGCCCAATCTGAGATTTGGCATGACTGTAGAGAAACATTGAGTTGTATGTTGCTGGACTGCAAATAAATTTCAGTTTTCACGTGAGTTGTTGCATGTGTGGTCTTGAGTCCACTTGTGGCAGCTGCTGTGGAGTTTCTTAATGGTTGAACTAGTTTAACTTGACTGTGAACTTGATGCATAAGAGACTTCGAGTCCTGTTTCACATGAAACCATTTTATTGATAATGGAATAGTGAGGAACATGTTTAGACCATGGACACCTCCTCAGAATCTGCAGTCAAAAAGAAACCTTTAGCACACCGGACCTCTATACTGTCACCACACCACTGATTACTAGGTAAATGCAACACCAGGGGTGACTGTCCAATTCCAATGGGGATGAAATTATTTAAACGTCAATTGTGCTTCCTTTTGAACTAGACTTGATACCATGCTCCTCTAAACTCTCGGGGATTCGCTCTACCAAAAGGAATAGTCAGAATTCATAAACTAATGCAAAACTGACCAAATCGCACGCTGGAAACTCTAGTGGTCATAGTTCTTCATTAGGAATTTGAACGGCTAATTTTTTTTGGAGATCTAACATGGGGTTACTGGAAGCATGGACGAAGCGTAGATTCAAATTACAGTATATATCTATCACTTGAAAATATAACATCTATGAACCAAGTAAACAACTTCCGTATTTCAAGTATCCAAGACCTCTCAAAAAACATTACAGATGAGGAATGATAACCTTTTTGTGAAACACCACTGTCCTTCAATATGACACTAGTAAAATTACTTGGATAAAACAAACACTTATGGGATTACAAAGGAACAACCTGTGAGGACACAGGTAATGGTGTATACATTGTACGGGTTAATTTTTACACAGTAGCAAGAACAGGGAATACCAAACAAATTAACATTTCACTCTCGGACATGCTTTAGTGGTGTATTAAGAAATGTGATGGTCAAAACTGAAAACCGATGTTCAGGAAACTTATGAGTCCAGTTATTCCAACAGGAAGAGAAGTCAACTCCTGTCTGTCCCTGCTATAGGTGATAGCAATGATGGCCACATTAATACTTCAACTTATTTGAACAAAACTGGCCCCAGCTGTAACTTACTGGCAGGTAGATTACAAGTTCACACATTTACTTTTCAGACC